GTTATAACACAATAAAGCGACAATGGTTAGAAGGTAAAGGTGTAATGATCGCATTGTTATAACACAATAAAGCGACAATGGTTAGAAGGCAAAGGTGTAATGATCGCATTGTTATAACACAACAAAGCGACAATGGTTAGAAGGCAAAGGTGTAATGATCGCATTGTTATAACACAACAAAAGACAAGCGGAACGTAATGGGAACGGCAGGGGGCAGCGGCAGGCAGTGCAGCTAATGTCAGCCGCGTCGCATGGCAACGAGGGGCGTCGACCGAGCGGCCTTGAGTAGGTCATGGCTGGCGGAGGGAAAGAGGGAGAGGCATGGAGGGAATAGGGAGGTCAGGGAAGAGGGGGTGAGGGAAGAGGCATGGAGGGAAGAGAGGGAAGAGGCTGGGAGGGAAGAGAGGGGTCAGGGAGGGGTCATGGAGGTGAGAGAGAGGAGGCAGGGAGGGAAGAGGAAGGAGGCAGGGAAGGAAGAGGGGGTGGGGGAAGAGGCATGGAGGAAAAAGAGGGAAAGAAGGAGGAGGCAGGAAGGGAAGAGGGAGGAGGCAGGGAAGGAAGAGGGGGTGGGGGAAGAGGCATGGAGGAAAAAGAGGGAAAGAAGGAGGAGGCTGGGAAGGAAGAGAGAGGTCAGGCAGGAGAGGAGTCATGGAGGGTAGAGGAGGGTGAGGGAAGAGGCATGGAGGGAAGAGAGGGAGGAGGCAGGGAGATGGTAAGAGGAAGGAGGCAGGGAGAGGGAAAGAAGGAGGCTGGGAGAGGTAAAGAGGGAGGAAGCATGGAGGGAATATGGGGTGAGGTAAGACGGAAATGGCTGGGGGAAGCAAAAAATAAATGAGGAAGGGAAAGGAGAGGGATATTGAAAAATTTCAGTGAAGGAGGAAGTACGGGAAATTGCCAGGTAAATAAATTGTGGTGGAAGATCGGTAATTGAAAAATCTAAGCATTAGTGGGAAATTTGATGAAAATATCGAGGAAATGAAGTCAATATTTCAAAATTGATGGGAAATGAGGCCTTGATAGTAGAGTATTTGTACAGAGGAGAACAATGTGAAAATAGGAAGATAGATTCAGTCCATCAGAGGAACGTAAGGGCAAGCTACGAAATAAAGGGTTATGTAGGGAACTCAATGGGGAGCAATGAAATCCATGCAACATTTGATAGCAAATGGGGAAGGATGTTAAGGAATGATGAGGGATGTGAACGCAAAAGGAACTAAGACAAGGAATGAAGGAGCAAGAGCAGGAACCGAGGAGAGGGAACAATGATCGAAAAAAAATGCGAGTTTGGAATAAATTGTATGGGCACAGGGAGAATAACTAATGCATTAATGCAGGAATAACTCGACGGAAAAGTGAAGAATATACGAGAGTAACGGAAAACTAATTGGAAATATTAAATACGCTGAAAAAAGCAAATAATTGGGTGAAGCACAAGTATAAAAATGAGTTAGGAACCGGAAATTAATGTACATTGTATAGGATCGCGAATACCACTGGATGGAATTAGGAAAATCATATCAAAATAAGAGCGTGATAAAGATGATGGATCATCAAGATTACAAGCGAAAATAAATGTGGGTGAAAACAAGCGGAATAAGGCGAGAAAGAGCCAATGTAAAACGCTCGAGAACCAAAGTAGCGATAAGAACTCAAGGAGATTAAAAATGAGGAATATACAAGCATGAATAATACATAAGCATTCCTGCGAATGAAAGTACACCGCGAAGCATTTTCTGCAGCAGGTCGTATGGTGGCAGGATCGATAGCCTGTTCCGGTATCGAGAGAACGGACAATCGTAAATTGAGCTCGTCGGAATGTAGGTAACTATAACTTGTGTATGAACATATCGTATAGTATATGTTTTCTATTTTTTGTCATATCGTTTTTATACTGTATTACATATCGTATTATGAGCTGTAACATCTGCGTTCAAGACACGCACAGAAGCAGACACTCTAGCAAGAGTTTGCACAGTAGTGGGGAAAACTAAAGTAAGATTTTGTTTTCAACATGATATTATATTTGTATTTAGAAATTCATCGGAGATTGTAAGTTTATACATCTAAGTCAAAATAGATAACAATTGTGCTGCTCATGTATAGGTAGTCAGAGTCTCTCCTTGGAATTGAAGCAAAAAGCGATATACATTAAAAGAACTAGGAGTAGACTAACGGAATTTAATTTTAAAGCTCAATTTGAATGTAGTGTGAGCAAAGTTATCGAGTCATCCCTTTGCTGATTATAAACAAAATGCGAATCTTTATTCTAAAAATCTGACGTCCAGCTAGAAACTCGAGTAAATTTAGCAAAATAAACAGTAAAACAAAACATTTAAACACCGTATAACACTCACAGCAGGCTCGTCTGGCTGCAGCACAGGGGAACCGACAGTAAAATAATTCATGCATAGGTATACCGATGCCCAACTTATTTATCTCAATATCATTGAAACTATTCATTTGCAATCAGCATACAATTCATTTTGCGATAAGAGGTATGCAATCAAATTTGTGTTTATGGTTGGTTGTTTCTACTTGTTAAAACTTATTCATGTTTACAAATAAATACTTAGAAGTCGATTTATTTTAATTAATGCACGTTATTTCTTCATTTTAAGTTTAATTCCATATATATCACTTTCGTGTTTCATAAAATGAAGGTGATAGAATAGCTTTAATATCTTACCTTGCCATATGCCTGCTTGAACGACAATATGATTTTCTGGCGCTGGTCACTGGTCCTGTTGGCGAGGATGTTGATGATGGAGGCTTCGTCGGTGCCGAAGCCCTTCATGGCCTTCCTCAGCATCGCCGCGTCCGTCGAGGGGTCGAAGTTCCCTAGGTACCTAATCGTTGGTTGAGCCTGAAATTCGAAAATTTTTAGAACTTAGTATTGGGAAATATACTTAGGGATTCATTGCACAGGATTCCGGTACGAATTTGGGGTACAAAGTTAAAAATTTAGAGAAATCCAACATTATTACAAGACTAGACATTTTTTTTCTGATCAATCCAATTCAGAACCCCTGGTATGCCAAATTGAACCAGTTTCGAATGCCCAACGAAATATCAACAATAATTTTGATAGTAATCGAACGTAACATCGCATTAAAACAATTAATATCAACTTCTAAAAAAAATTAAAAGTAAAACTATGGTTGATAACTTAATTAGGTCTGAAGCAAATTTAAAACTAACAATAATTGTCGACCCTATGCCCTGCACAAATTTAGTGAATTGGCAACTCCTGCGGTGCACTCTATTCAACTACAAAATTTGCCACTTACAGGAGGTTCCATCGTAACAGAGGTCCTCGGCTAAATTCTACAGGAAAGGAGAAATGATGTCGCCGTACGTTTCCTAACTCTGTGTGTATCTCGGCTACGAACGCAAGTGAGCCAAGGCAGGATTCGATTCAAGATATTTTCATTATTTGCGTGAAACGCAGGTTATGAAATAATTAATAACGTAAGGATCATGACTGAACTTATTTGCAATTCTATAATGAAAATAATATGAAAAATTAATAAAGCACAATAGATATCGCAGGGGGCGTTGCAGTTCTTGATTAACCGGCCCCGCTGCTGACTTCATTATTTGCGCACAATGATACCGGACCGCGCTAGAGACTAGAGTCAACGAGTCTAGACTCTAGAGTCATAACTCTAGACTCATTAGTAATTCTAGACTGAATAATTAATTCATAAAGATAGTTAAATTCTCTTTATAAACATATATAACAATACTTTAAATAACGGGGCAATATATGATTAGAAAGTTTTCTGCCATTAGCATGTTGAGCTAGAAAGTGACATGCACTGTTAAGTGGAGGCAATGAAGTATTTAAAATAAATTACAATTACTGTCAACAGTTTGAAGTAGATATAAAGCAAGTCCATATTCTCTTCGTCAGTTACGAAACCGAATATTTATTCAACATCACAGAAAACCGGATGCAAGTGTAGGAATATTTGTATCAGGAAACATGCCTGTCAATTTGTCAAACATTACGCACGTCCAATGCACGAGGCATAGCATCTAAATTTAAGCATTTCACAATTTTATGCAGCTAAATTAAAGATTGATAATTAATTTCTGTTCTAGTAATGGATTATTATTGTGTGATTTAAATGAAAATGATCACAAAGATCGTAAATTTTTCACTGTAAATAATTTATTCTTTAGGCGAGAAACGCGTTGAAAATTCTCCGGATGCCAGAGATTTTCTTATCGCTTCCAATATCGCTTTGCTGTCAATCGTGAGCTTCCGTTTCAAAATCATAGAAAGCCACCGCACAAAAAAATCCGTTCTGTATCTTTTCACAACTGCTGTTTGAGTTATGATATATGAAAATTTTAAAATATTTTTGGAAATAGGAAAAGATATATCCAATCCAAAGTTCACTTGATTTGCGAGCATAGGAACCTACTCTGAACAAACTCGTTCATGTATGTGTATTAGCCTACGTATTCTATACTACCTTAACGCGATGTCGCGATCATCAGTTGACATGAGTTTACTTGCAAAACAGCCAGATCATACTGAATTATTTATTCAGACTAACGGATTCTACAGGGACTGAATTTTGTTACTATTACAATTTAAAGAAACTTCTCATTCACGAATATAGGCGAATGCATGGAACTTTGGAAGACATCGAAACGTAGTTTTTTTCCGCATTGCATTTTGCACTACCCAATTCAATAGCATTGAAACGCTTGACATTTCAAAGGAAGGCGTGCACAGGAGTTAGGACTAGGCTACATCGGCAAACTTGTTTGCATCTAGTCCACTGTCAGAGTTCATCATCCGTGCGCTGCACAGATGCAGACGAGATGACAACCATTGTGATAACGGCGGCCAAGTCGGCTAAGGACACGATTCTGCCAGCAGGTTAGGAAGATGACTAAGATCTTAAAATTTGTAGCTTGTAGAGCAAAATAAGTGTATCGCACTGCCTTCTCGATTCGCCAGGTAGAAAAGCTTCTTTTATTGGAAAAATTACAAAGTAGAACAAGCATACATGTTTGATGAGATCGACGAGCAAAAATGCAGTTAGGATTAGAAGATCGAGGAAATTACACTTGTCACCCCAAAATTAACGCTAACAATAATGGTACCTAATTCCAACAACTTCAACAAGAATTCATTCACAGTAAAATTAAGCTCTGTACTACTCGCTCATTCACTCTTAAGTTTTATAACCAATTAAACTACTCACCATCGTATATTTATATGGATTTCAATGCGTTTGAACAGATAAGACCAGTGCAAACACTGTTGGTTTAAATGTTGTAACTTTCGAAGCTTGGAGGAACAAACAACCTCACATAAGCAAAGCCGTCAAGCTACTGCCGCCGAGTCGGCGACTCCGAGACTCCGAGTGTCGGTTGTCGGTGGCTGTGGCACAACAGAGAAAATTCGGAGAACGACGCGACTCCTAATTATGCCACACCGACGTACTTACTACTCGTTTGTAATGTAGATCTTGGTCGTATCGTTTGTAAAGAGCACATTTGTACATCCACAACTTATGAAAGATGATGAAGTCGGATATTACTTGATGGGAATTATTTGGGGGTATTTCCATGTTTTCCCACCGGGAGACATGCTTTACGCGTGAACTCTGTTTACAAGTATATACAGCTGTTTAGAGTTAGGGTATGAAGTATAAATTAATGTATGAAATATAGCATATGTGCTGGTGCTTCGACAGTTCAAGGTCAAGGCTGCTTTGTTGCAGCATCGTTATTCAAGGTCACCGCTGCCTGGAACCCATCCTTCTCTGTCGCTGTTTGAACTGAGCTGTTTTTCGTGCAATGTCATTAGGTCCGCAGTTGTTATTGACAATTATTCCTCGTTTAAATGGTTAGATTTCGATTTCAAGTGATCTTAGAGATTAGAAACTAAAATAATTGGAATTATATAAATTTCAGAAACCAATATCCAGCCATCGATAATCTTATGAGGGAATCATGTAAGTAAATCAAGCTTCAAGCAAGAGGAAGAAGATAAATAACAGGATAAAAAGATGATAAAATAAGTAATATACGATTAAAAGATTATTAGATCCTATGGTGAGATTACGTCAATCAAGAACCATTGTTTTAGGTCATTATTAAAATGATATACACAGTTTTACACACTCGCTGACCGGTTCAAGGGATACACCATTAGTCAATCTGTCAATGCCTACAACAACTAAAAAATTTACAATAATGTTGAATTCAACAGGAAGTTGATAGGGTACAAAAACTGATCCAATTAACAGATCTTAACGACCAACGTAGGCATGAGGTGTACTGACAATCAAAACGTGGAATAAATGCATTTCTTTGCTGTGAAAAAGACTAGGAAAATATCTCTCAGGTTCGTAAAAGTATGGGCACTTGAAAACCAGTTTCAACAGACAAGAATTGAACGTCATTACAGCCTTGTAACATATACAAGCCAAAACAGCGTAAACTTTAATCACATAAAGTGATATGGAAATACGACAAAACATCACACGAATTAAATCGAGGAGTAAATGTCCGAGTAACCCGATGTTATCGACGCGCAGACGCGACACACAAACAAAACGCATGGCACACAGCCAAAGGGGCGTGGACTCGGGCAGTAGCTTCAGGAAATTCGTTCACCTCAGCAACCGTCTACTTAACGAACTATTACCAAGATACAAAAGAAAACTTATAAGTTTAACGAAAGTGTATAAATTTGTGGCCATTGACTTGTGTAAAATTTCCATTTGTAATTTTTTGTAATTTTTGTCTTAAAATCGCTTGGCTGCTTAAGTCGCAAATTTACCAGGAATTTAAAAGTAAAGAAAATAGCCAAAAAGTTCACCATTTCTTATAAGCGAAAACGTTTCGGAGTCCAGCTACATCGTCAGTTCAAAACCTAGAACACAGGTACAAACAATTAGTAGCCTATAATTCACATTTAAACAATTCACCTAAACTTGAGGATATTAGAACCAAAAATGTCCTCAAGTTTAATGTTAATGTAATGTAATGTCTAATGTTAATGTAAAGTTAATGTGATGTCTAATGTCCTCAAGTTTAGGTGAATTGTTTGAATGTGAATTTTAGGCTACTAATTGTTTGTACCTGTGTTCTAGGTTTTGAACTGACGATGTAGCTGGACTCCGAAACGTTTTCGCTTATAAGAAATGGTGAACTTTTTGGCTATTTTACGGGATATGCAGCAGCTTGAGCTCCATAGGGAGCAACAGAGGGTGCTCCGTATGGTGCTGGTGGTGCTCCATATGGGGCTGGAGCAGGGGCTCCATATGGTGCTGGTGCCGGTGCTCCATATGAAGCTGGCGCCGGTGCTCCATATGGTGCTGGAGCTGGTGCTCCATAAGGTGCTGGAGCTGGTGCTCCATATGGTGCAGGCGCTGGTGCTCCATATGGTGCAGGCGCTGGTGCTCCATATGGAGCTGCTGGCGGGGCGCCATAATAACCACCTAGAAAACGTAAAATTTAATCACACTATAAAAGGTCATACAATAAATTGCGACTGACGAAATTATTTGAAATATTGAACTCGAAATTCGGTAGCATTGAATATCCTTAGGTAAATGTCCGTATCAAGACCCATCAGCTAAATTAGAATAAGAGCTGCACTAATTTACTGACATTAATTGATTGAAATTTAATTGGTCTCCATCTATAAACATTTTCCCAGTAACGTGGAGAAATTTGTTATCTAATAAAACTTAGCAAGTTCACCCAATCAAACTGTTTATTTGAATGTATTATTTAATGGTGAATTTCTCAGAGTAGCAAATCGCAATTAACTCCAATATTGGACCTTTGTTTCATATAAAAATATTTTATATGAAACCTCTTTTTTTCATTCCTTCTCAGAAACTGTATAAATCGAAAAATGTATATATAATTCAGAATCGTTTCCTTGGCGCTCCGTGCTTACAAATAGAATAATAGAAACATTCAATCGACGTAAATTGAACGTTCAGTGAGCGCTATATTGTAATTTCGATGTGTGAATTGTTTCGAATAAAATTCAACGTTGAAGAAGCCACCTTACATCGTAACCAGCACTTTCAAAAAAAGTTAAGAGATCGTAAGTTCATCAGCCAATCATTGACGGCCTTTCAAGCAAAATCCACCAATCATAGACAAGTAAATAGAGCGTAAGTACTTACGTTCACTTAGCGAGTTTTGAAAGTATGGCCCCAAATGGACACTAACATGAACTCTTATCGCTGCTCAAGTATTATCAGCCTCCGACGAGCCATGCGGCAAAAATTGTATCAGGTCAGACGTTTGAGTCAGTGAACGTTTATGATATTTATCACGAAATCATGTGTAAATCCACCTCGATGCATACTTGCCAATGCATTTGAATTCATAGGAAGTTGATTCATACTAGTTAATTACGGCATTTAATCATCTAGCTATTCTCAGTGTTTCTAGATTGCAGTTCAATGGTCTGAGTTTAAGCACAAATTTGAAATCTTAATTAATAGCCGCGAAATTTCGTTCAAATTTGTTAATTTCACGAATGAATATTAGTTGTTTTTATGGAATTTTTAGCCTTTTTATGTTATTACCTTAAAAATATGATTATATAGTTTGGTTTTTTTCATGCTGACACTCAGCTCGCAAAAAAAGCAAGAATATATAACAACAGGCAACCATCGTCAAAAATTCGAACTACCGTATCCTCGATTCCCGTAAAGTTCAATATGGTATATACTTCACAAATCATGACCTCTAGTTCATGGAACTTGCGTTTCGAGCTCATTTGTATTAAAAGGAAAGTGATGACAAAGAAATAAATATTCATGTAATTTTTTCATGGACTTAAAAATTCTGAATAAGGGCGAGAGAAAAACATAAGCAAATTCTAAAGTTTTTATTTAATACCGGCGGAAATACAGACAAATAAAGCCCACACTTAGAAACAACAAAAAATTAAATTTTAATTATATTTAAATTCTTAGTATATACTGTATCGAACCAATCTTCGTGTAAAGCTAGAAAACGCAAGAACCATGCACCAAGGTAAAACCTGCCGTAAATGAACTTCTCCGAAGAGGAAACTACGATCAATTGAAAATTTGAAAAGCGAAAATTTGTAACTACGATCTTAATTCTACTTATCTAATATTGGCACACGGAGAAAAACCAACGCTTGAAACAAATGAAATAATAAGTAGGATGAGGTACACGATAGCTTCAAAAGACTATGAGAGTGAATTAATATTAGTAGACAGTTGTCTATGTTCCTAATTGGGAAAAATTCAATGCATATTTTGAATACTATACAAAAAGTATTTCTAATGCGTGCTAAAGTCTTTACTTCATAAAAAACTTATTTTACTTATGTATTATAAAGTTCGAACAAGTAGGCGAGTTGTGATTAGAATACAAAAAATCCTCGTACGCGAATTGATGCAGAATTTTTAAAAGGTTGCCGTCAGAGCCCAGAAATCTGTAACATTTCCTCCAGTTGACCAAATGTTCTGAATGCATAAAAAATATAAACAGTATTCCATCATTTCAGTGCCATGCTTAAGTTAGGAAATCATTCAAAGGAACGCTTATTATAATAAAAATCAAAAACAATTCAACGACAATAATAGAATAAACCGAAATATTAATCTTTCAAACATAACTTAACTTCGAGCCGATCCAGTCTTACAAGATGTTAGCAATTTGCTATAGTTGATATACTCACTAAACCTCATAGAAACCGGAAGTAATGCAGTACCGTTATTGGTTTTCTGAACTTCATTTTTGAATGTGCTAAATATTACCTAAAGCAGTGCTCATTTCCGCATATTGAGTCTACTTTCGGCCGACCATTCATTCCAATTTACCATTTCAAGCGAAATATTTCGACCTCTTCGATCCAAAAAATATACGATCCTAAAAATTGCAAGTATGTAATAGGAAATAAAAATTAATTCTATTACAATTTCAGTGCTGGTGGAAAGGTATAACAATTGTGCTTGCAACTAAACAGAATTGTATATTCTGTATTGATATACATATATATTCCTAATATTCTGTATTGATAAGAACGATATTTTCTGATGAAGTATTCGGCAAATGCAGTGCTTTACTTTTCAGTGATGGTGAGGAGGATGTTGTGGATGTCCATGCGTACCTGCTGGAGGATATCCAGGCGCAGGGGGATATCCAGGTGCAGGAGGATACCCAGGAGCGGGAGGATAACCTTGAGCTGGTGGATATCCTGGAGCTCCTGCTGGAGGATAGCCTGGAGCAGGCGGGTATCCAGGAGCGGGTGGATATCCAGGAGCTGGAGGATATCCGTGAGGAGGTGGATGGTGTGGCTGCTGTTGGATTTAACAAGTTTAGTATCATTTATCCAATACAGGATTCTAGTTGTGCAGATAATTCTGAAGAAATTAATTTTAAAATTTAAGATTCATGCTCAAGAGGATTTAAAATCACTCGCGTCATGTCAGTGACAAATTGTGTTTCTAGACTACATTCACTGTTATATTTTATTACAGATCAATGAAATTTATTTAGGTACAAGACACTGCCAATGTTTCTATTCATAAAAACACTGACACTTCAATTTTCATGAGTTGCTTAGACCAAGCTTGCTTAGATGGAGATGTTCGATGCACTATCAGCCACGCCATGCCTCTTATCTCGATGATAAGGAAGACTCAGTCATTGTTGTTGGCACTCTAGGCACAGCTCTCTTATTCTTAACAGATTAGGCAATCATCTCATGCAACCTACCACCAACACTTAAGCTCTACAAACATGCATAATTTGAGAAGTTCGATCATACGTATTTGCCTGGACATTCATTCATATATAATCTTTCATATAAGCTGGTATGCTCTTATATAATCCGAGGGTATAGTTTTAAAATGGCATTCTGTTCGTAAAATAATTTTTCAACTACATGGCGAGATAGAGATTCTATCCAGTTTAGGATTCTTTGTCTTCCAATTTTCGACAGCGCGTGTGACCTCTAATTAAGGAATCAAAGTCTTTAACCAAGAGAAAAGGTCGAATTCAATGTCATTTTCTTTTTCTATTCGGGCACACGCATTAACTTAATGTGATACAAATGTAAAGTTGCCACCCGAAAAAAAATGCATAAAGCATATGTAAATAATGTTGTTGGAAATGAGCGTCGCGTAGAAGCTAATCTCATCTAATTGGCCATTGCGTTGAAAAATGTTCGAGAGTCTGAAAAGAGACGTAAATTGCGGAAAGATTCACTGGAATATAATAATTCCATACACAATACCTTGCCCTTCTTTCCCTACAGATACTCGCATTCTTTCTTACCCGATTTCGATACTGAATCTTGATCTTCGTCAGGATTAAAGCTAAGAAGCCTAGCTTCCTGCATGTGAACGTTCACGTGAAATTGAATCTCAAGAAGTAAATAAATTTAGAAACCCAGATTCTACATTAAAGCAAGTCGTTTTCAAAAGAAAACAAGAACGTTCGGAGCCAAACTGTTGATTTTAGCCTACAGATTGCGACAAAATATTTCGATAGGTTGAGTTATCGAAAAATTTACGACTTCAAACAATGAGAATAGCAACGCATGGGATTTATTGCGAAATTTAGATTTGCAGATTTGCAGAAGAGAGAATAATTTGCATTAATAGCACTACAGTAATTAGAAACAGCAGCAGTAGCAGCAGACAGTACAGCAGCAATTGATGAGTATGTTAGAACTTATTCAGTTATTGATCGCAATTTTTATTAGATTCGCTATGAACACCTCAGCCTTGTAGGTGGGTCTCAAGTTTGCACTGATGACCTCAGGAATAATATTATTTCACAAGTTGAATTTTTTAACCTAATCACTGGAAAAGAAACTGAAACACTATGAACTAAACAAAAGCAAGCTATATCGATTATTCTTGAATGAAATTGAGAACGAGTAATATTATCCGTTACAAAATGGAGCAAAAATCTCGATCGCTCCGTTTTCACGAAATAAGAGAAGGAAAATTTTCTATTTAACCGCAGAGACTCGAAATAGTCAAGTTTTTCCGACCTGATGTGCTGCGTGACCATGTGCTGCGTGACCATGTGCTGCGTGACCATGTGCTGCGTGACCATGCGTATGGTGTTTGTCCTTGCTTTTGTGTTTTTTATCCTTCTTGTGTTTGTGCTTCTTTTCACCGTGATGTTTATGGTGACTTTCATCACTGCTGCTACTGCTGCTGCTACTGCTGCTACTGCGACCTGAAGCTCCGGCTTCGGCCTCGTCATGTTCGAACGACTGCATCTTGTCTTGTCTTGTTTTTTTAAATTCTCTGAGCTACTTCACACTGTTTAGTCCTGCAGAGTTTGTACAGAAGGCGGCAGGTTAGGGACGCGGTTATTGAATTAAAATTTCCCATTATTATTAGTTAAGGCCAGGTTTTTTACGGAAACGTGCACAATGAGCGTGAGAGAAAAGTAGTTAAGGATAAGTATTTACAGAAAATCATACCTATGACGCGTCATACCAAAGTTTACCAGGAGATTAGAGTTTAAACATTTATATGAACCAATTTACGTGGTTTAATATTATTCAGGGAAGGCAAGTTTTAGGATCGTTCGGTATTACAGGAAGGTAGGGGAAGATGCCGAATTGACACCAACAGAAGATTACCAAACGAAACATTGACCATCAAACCCTCTAACTGTTACATATGTACACCCAGATTCGAAAAAAATTATGCAAATTATTGTTCAGACATGCACCACACATTAAATTAGAAATGTGTATCTTCCGTAGTAAAAAAATAAGTAGATGTCCAGTAAACCATTAATAAAATATACATGCATGACGAGATATAGTAAATGAATTATCACATAACAAATGAGATATAAATTGTGCAACATCCGAAGATACAAAAATATTTATTAAATACCTGGCCAAATCCGAAGTTCTGGTTGGGGTCGCTCATGCCTTAGCTGATGAAACAAATTTGAATTTATCTCCTAACCTAGAAAGAAATCTAAAAATTACACGTTTTAATAATGCTTAATAATTACAATTTTTTTAACTTTCGAAATTGTCCTACGTCATTTATTAAATATAGTTTTAATTGTTTACCTACATAATTATAATCACAGTATACCAGTTAGATACTCAATTTCAATAAGAAACACGAGTTAGGGTCATGCTACTTTCGAATGAGTTACGAATATTTCCATCTAATTTCCTAACGAACATCCGATTACATGAATATCAATCCCTACACATACAGTTGTGTACTAACTTAAGTATATAATTAAATATATACTCTGGTACACGCAAGAAACCCGTACCTAATTTAAAAAAAACTAAAACAAAAGTCACCTTGCTTTTAGAGACGGATATCTTTGACAACTGTCCATTCATCCGCAAACTAAATAAAGATTTAAGTTGAAACGAACTAGCAAGCGTACATGTATATATAAACACGAATCTAACCCGCGAAACTGAACTACACTAGAAAATCAGAAACTTTAAGAAAATAGCTGATTGTAAAAATCTATACATGTAGTTTGAAAGCTGAAAAAAATAATTATGGTTTGCAGGAGAAAATGTTGAATTTTCAAACTACAAGTTCAAGGAAAGATGCAGTGCGAAGAGACGGGCGGCCGAGCGAGCTCTGAGGCTGTAGCAAGCTAGCTTTCCGCCCCGGATCTGCATGAGACGTTATCTCACGAGGCAGCTTCTTATCAGCACTCATATCTTCGAGTTGTTTTACCGTCTTTTGCAATCATTTTTTCTGTATAATTGGTTCCAAGACTGGTGATGTCAGAAGCACTTCTCAACCTGATCTCATGCAACCGTTGTCTTTAACGGCTTTTACAATCAACAACGTATATCACACGTTGCCTGTTATCAGCACACGTATCTTCAAGTTGTCTTTAACGTCTTTTAGAATCAACAACGTATATCACAAGTTGGCTGTTATCATCACACGTATCCTTAAGTTGTCTTTAACGTCTTTTACAATCAAGAACGTATCTAACAAGTTGACTGTTATCAGCACACGTACTGTATATTCAAGTTGTCTTTTACAATCAACAACGTATCTCACGAATTGGCTTCATATCCGCGCATACAATTTCAAGTCATCTTTAACGTCATTTTACAATTAACAACGTGTCTCAAAAAAAATCTGTTATCGGTATACGCATTCATCTTCTAAAATCTCGATGGTTTTCAACGCCTTAAATTATAAACAACGTCTTTATTAATTATTTAGGCTGCGATTTGAATAATTTTCGTTGTTCTCAACAATAAATTATAATAGCTGAGAGAATTATTTTTCGCAATGAGATTAGCTGAGAATTGTTTTTCGCAATGAGATGCAGAACTCAGCCTGCTTTCTTTTTAAAGAGCTGATGTCTCAGGAATAAAACTATTCTTAATTGAAAAATAATGAAATATCTTAGGAATTGAACGTATTCCTTGGCTGCAATTTGGTCTAACTGCGTTCGTGACATAAAACGTGTCATAAATAATAAAATATTCCTTTCTCCTAAATATGGTACAAGGAAGAATAAATATAATTCATGTCACCTAGCATTAATATTTATTTATCGACATATATACCAAGATTCCTAAGACCCCTACACGTTGCATACTGGTGAAAGCTCGACAAATCTCTGCCTAAAACAATTGCTGCGCCATATTGCATGTCATATGCTGGGACTGTCATTATGCTTTCATCGATAACTAGAAACAGTGACCGAAAAATAATGCATATACATGAGTGTATTACAGAAAAAACATGAGCATGTTATTGAAATAATCTTTCTTTCTCAATGGGAATTATATAATATTTTCTCAACAACACGCCCGTAGAACATTGAATTTATCTGGTTCACTCGTTGATGGTGTGAAATAAAAAAAAATAATTCTTGTGAATGATGATGCAAAATAGGAAAGCGTTGGCTAAGGTTACATATGTTTCTGATCGTTCCATCTGGAGTCGTGATTATTAATAATAATGTTATAATGCGATATAATTCATAATATAAGTAATGCGATATAATGAATGTCGCCATATAATTATTAAATAGGACGTCTATAGAACAACGTTCTACGTTGCACAAGCATAATAAAGATGCTATGAATGCACATTACATGAATCATTTATTAACCTCATTATTTAGATATTGTGTGAACGAGTAATTTATGGAGGAATAAACTAAACTAATTCGATTAAAACTCATGGAGTTGCAAACTTCTTTACAATAATGAACACTACCTTAATTATACCTTAAAGTGTTAATGAATATCACAAACCACCAAATGCTCCAAAAATATGTAGTGGAGCTTCCAGATAATTTTAAAACGCGGAAAATGTCACTGCTATCAAATTTTATGTCAGTAAATCCGTAAGCCAGAAACACATGACGTAACATTCTGGCGTCAGATAACAAATTTATTCAACACAAAATAGGCCACATGATTAAAGCTTCGGAGATTATTAAATCATATTACTGAACCACGCAATAATATTTTAGATTTTCACTTATAACACTTTTTTAGTATGAAAACTAACAGAATAAGTCTGGATATTTTAGCCCCGTCACACGAATGACTTCCTTTCACCAAGAGGCTACACGCGGCACTGATGAACGCAGTGAGGCAGTCGCTGTTGCACCTGACGGCAGCTGCTGCATCTGAGCAGTCACAGAGCAGCAGCTGCAGCAGCTGAGCAGTCACAGAGCAGCAGCTGCGGCATCTGAGCAGTCACAGAGCAGCAGTTGCTGCATCTGAACATCTAAAAAGTAACTTCAGAGCAGGAGCTTCACAACTTTCATTATCAGAGCATTATCTTTGGCGTCTGAGCAGCAGTGAAGGAATCAGAGCTCCAGTAGCAGAGTTCAGAACATCATAACAAATTTCTCGTCATTTTATGAAAATCCCCAATTCAGAAACTCCCTATAAGCACCAAATGAACTTTGCATTTTGTTCTTTATATTTTTATAGTTTCGAACATGAGTAATGTGAGACAATTCGAAGAGTTTTAATGGCGGAATGATCAAAACGGAATGTTTCAAATAAGTGAAAGATCAATATTTACAATCTTATGCACCGATCTCTGATTTATGCTATTTTGTATTATTTATAAACATATGTTCCTTGAAGTTTTTAAGTTTAAGTTTTAAAATATTGTGTGGTTTATTTTGCGCAAATATTTTTACTTATGTATTTTTGTGTTATATGTCATTAATGTGGTGAAGACACAAACATCAAGAAAATAATACGTACTCGATTTTTTATCGGAGTTAAAATTGTATCTAATTACCCTTACTTCAAATCTCTTTCTATTCTATGAAATAATGCACCTTTTACAAAAAAAAAAATAAAATCAGTCAGATTTAAACATTTTAGTAATTTGATTCTATCTTAATTTGCTCTCTGAACGTACGACATCAAATAGTTTAGGAAAATTCCTTCTACATTATCATGGATGCCGAAAATTTCAAGACGTTTCGTTGTTCAAAACATAAAAGAAACGAAAAAGAAATGTTTGGTCGGCTCTCTTCAGAGATACAAACATCCGTGAGCGATTGCAGGGTTTCCGTTCAGAGGCAAACATGAACAAACATCGAAGAAACAGCCGTTAGGCAGAAACTGTTACTAAATTACATAATGTAAACTGATGTTCCATTTTACTTATAAATAATTTGAGTTCGGAAAAGGCTAAACTAATGATTAATCAAGCTTGACAAAGGATGTAAAGCAATTTATATTACAAGTATTGTCTAGATATTGGCCATTATTTTTACACATATTATTTACACGGCACTTCTATCAATATTATTGCATCATTTAATCCAGAATTTAATTTTTTCATTTCTCTTACAAGGATTTTCTATTTGGATAGTAGTTAACTCACATAAAACGTTTACATTCTAACTATGGTACTTCCGTATTAGCTACTGAAATTTCACAAAGCACTATCGTTGTATACCAGCGTTATTTGTGTCAAAAAATTTAAAAATAAAAAAAAAACGAAATCAACATGCCCAAGTCCTGCTATCACTTCATTAATTTTTATAACGGACACCAGTCGCTCCGACCTGCTACTCTCAAGGACAAAAAAATGCCTTAAAAAAGACATTTCGAGCTTCCGCGTCACCGAGTGAGTACGCATGCAGCCAATGCCGTGAGTCATCAAAATTAAGCTGAAAAATATTCGGTCAAAAAGAATGATGCTCGGAGCATGGTTTGCATAGACAGATTTTATAGATAAAATAATAAACTTTTATTTAGCAACATCAGTTGGTAAAGAAATTCTGTATAAGAGATAATTAACAGGAGCATGGTTTGCAGAAATAGATTTTATAAATAAAATATTACTTTTATTTAGCAACATCAGTTGGTAAAAAGTTCTGTATAAGAGATAATTAACAGGAGCATGGTTTGCAGAAACAGATTTTGTAGATAAAATAATAGACTTTTATTTAGTCTCATCAGTTGGTAATATTACATAATTATCCTTCAAATAAGCTTCTTCATTCAATATACCATTATTCAAGACAGCCTCAAATAAAAATTTAAGTAAAGCTCGTCGAATAATAAGTTATTAAATTTTCAACAAGAATTTAAAACGATTCAGAGATTTCTCCGTCATCAGAACGCATCGTTTCCAATGAAAAAAAAAAAAGATTTATTCACTTGGCGTTTTCAATGCTTTTAAATTATCGATGAACTTGCAATTTAAGTAAATTAATGATGTAAGCACTAATCATAATTAAAGTTTAATTATAAGGAGGCATAATTGATTCATGTAAGGAATAGGAAAATTTTGCATATTTTTCCCATCGTGCAATATTGAAGGGAATTTTACCTTATTCATGCCAGTCGCACTTCCACGATACCTTGAGCAGGCAGGCTTAACAGCAGGAGAACACAGCTTATTACCAGTCTTTCTATCTTAGTTCCCACTGCTGAACAAGCTTCTTCTTCCGCTCCCGTATTCGTACTTATTACTCAGCCGCTCTGAGCTTTGAAAGGCTTAGGTTCTACATTAGTTCCGGTGAAAATTCTTCTAAATATTTGAGATGGAGATTCTCATTTGATATCTCTAAGCAGACGAAATATCAAATCTTTATATAATGTAGATTAAACCTAATTTTCCAGCTCAGGGACAGTCCAAACGACTCATCATTGCTTAATTTTTAGCACATTTTCTCATTTATGGAAAAAATGTACTATATTGTGCTCGCCATGTTCATCTGTCTGTCTGTCCGTCCGTGACCTCAAATTTTCGTCGACTGTGAAAATGCGCTCTCTGTCACTCACTGCAGTGAGTACTGAGTTATATTTTTTTTGTGGGGATGTCCAGTTAATGACATCCGGTTCATATACCACGATCTGCACCTCCTAAGTCCGCATATTATTCCATTGCCTAGCAGCGAAAAGTTCACCAATTATAATATCTACAGTTTTCTTGCAATTGATCTTAGAAAAAATTAATATTAAAGTAATGTATATTTGTGTCTATGCGACCAGCGTGCCGAGAATCCGCGGAGTGCTAGGAAGCATGCACATACCCTAAATGAATGACGTCATCCCAGAAGAGACGTAACTTTCATGCATATCAACTTAAATTTGTTTAATACACCCCGGATAAAATTTTTATTATACCTTCTCGAGATTACAAATAAAAAACAAATTGACATCTTTAATTCATATCTATGTAAGTTGATGTTGAATTCATGTTTAAATCAAAAGATGTACATATAATGCATGTTATTGCGCATATCGCAACATGTGGCATCTACGAATGCGGTTCGCCTCTTGTCTCAGAGTTTCAGGTCAATTGTACAGCGACGGTGAGGTGCATCAGAGGCTGGCGAAATGAACTCGACACTTAAACACTGATATTCATTATAATCTATTGCAAAATAAAGAGTTTAAGTATTGTGCTATCAAGAGTATTGTGCTGTCAAGAGGTTGATCCACCAAGAGGATGGATATGTCACGGAAAATTCAGTGTTGATTTAACTTTGAGCTGCACGTACGGAAAGATCGTCAAGGATTTCCTGGAGTTCTGTCAATGATAAGACCAAGCCCATCGCAGTGCTCAATACAATACAGTGTCGTCGTAACTTGGTGCGCGATTGTATTGTGTGCAATATGTTATCCCCTCTCATTATCTGACATATATAAATAGATTTTAGGAGACAAAATCCTATTTTAGTTGAACAAACATCACTCCAACGTAGTGCCCAAATTAAGTGCATTATCGCAACCTTGATAAGGAGTGAAATTGTTATAACAAAACACCAATTATTATCTGACCTGGTCACCTGGTCAAAATATTATATCAAATTCGTGATACTTTGAGAAATAAGTATTTTAGTTTGATTTTCTACTTGAGAGCTTCAGTTTGAGATGGCCGATGATGCAGAATGGATCGAGGTTGATAAAGGTAATCAATAGTTACATTACGCCTGCGGGCGAAAATTTAATTAGTAACTAGCAATAATTTTTTTAATTAGTAGGAATTTCAATAGCAACGTGTCATTGTTGATAGAGGTAATTATGTTTAAATTAAATTTCATCAGTAACAGATAAATGTTGATATAGAGGTAATTTAATCTTTCCGATACTAGGAAGAATTTCATTAGTAACAGACCGAAGTTCATAGAAGTAAATATTGGGAATTAAATACAAATAGATGAGGGTAAAAATTTAGATAAAGATTATTCAATTAATCACGATACTAGTTACTTATGATACTAGTAAATTTTTTTAGGAACCGAAGAATATCAAGCGAAAATCTTTTATTATATTTACTATTATCTTAAGTCACCCTGATTAGTTATTTTTTAAATTAAGTAATGAGATATACATTCTGTAGGCTATGTTTTAGGGATGCACGATCACCTAGAATAAATTCCGTTCATCTCGTTATATAATCCAGAACAACCCGTTAGAGTTTGAATATTTAAATCCAGTTATAGCTATGGCCAGCAATTATAAGTTATTTCAAGACACGAAATTTAGAATTTTCGTTTGTAAATTTTATTTATTCAAAAATATAGTTGCAAATTAGTGCCTTATCATATTCTTCCAAAATTTCATGATGTTTCCATAGTTTTATAACATGTATTTTTAATATGAGACGGACAATAGGGTGAGTTCACTTAATTTTCAATCTTCAATTAAGTAATTCAGCGATATTTATACATTGCGTGGAATTTAAACATAAAAAGTTTCAACATTTTAAATCACGAAAATTTTTTTAAAGCAATTTTTATATGGATACCTGATATATTCATTACTGAATATTTTTGTTCAGCAACTCTAGGAATTATTTATAGACGGGAAGTATCCTCATTATCAAACTTTTTGTTGAGAATATTTTGTCCTTTTGTCAAATAATACCTGCAATCAAATATTTTCGTTGAATAATACCTTCAATTAAATATTTTCCTTGAATAATACCTGCAATTAAATATTTTCGTTGAATAATACCTGCAATTAAATAGGTTGCAAGGCATATTTTTTTTAATTGGGGGTTAAGACTTGTGGCGACAAAAGCGCCCACCAGCCTGATCTCTGTCAGAAACTTGCAAGGCATATCGAAAAAGCTCATCCTCCACTGAATACGGAGGTGGACGAACCTTCGAGAGATGAACGACTGATAGCTTGCGTGAGCTGAACACACCGTGTTTCCTGCCATATTTTTAACCTAGTCGGAAATTCCGTCTGTTACACTGTTACAACGTCTACCTAGTTCTATATACAAGAGTGCTGTTATATGGGAAAGGAAATAGACTCTAATTAAGTTCATGTGCCTCAGGACAAAGGATATTCCTTGGTAAAATATCCTGATATAAATGCATCGTATTAGTTAAAATATATGATATTCAAAACACAAAACCATCGTTAAAAAATTAGAGATCCTTCAGCAAATTAGATCAAATTCTATTATATTAATTGTTTTTAACTGTCGACTAACATGTTCATGTAAAATTTTGCTTGGACAACAATACCAAGTCAAAACAATCGCCCACTAATGCCATGTGGTGAAAACATCTTTGCATGTTTCTGAAAATAATAATGATCTGTCAAAAACACTCAATCTAAATCAATTTTAATAAACCTCACGCAATTGAAAACACTCAACAATCTTCCAACCTCCAGAGTTTGGCCCTGTCCCTGATCGACGAACGACAACCAGACGCCCGTTCTGGTTGACCACACCTTCAACAGCCACCAGACCTTCCGGGCCTCCCACGGTTTGGCCACCAAGATATCCTTACACGACGCCGGACACGCCTTATGATCAGGATGAACGCGCTCTTCCTCAGCCTCTGCAACCTGACCACACACACGCCATCGTCTTCGGCAGTCTAGGGGCTGTACTGCTGCTGGCCCTGCTGGGGCTAGTGGCATATATGGTGATACTCCGCAGAAAACTTCTCAAGGTAATTTGTGGTGAAAGATTAATAGATCACAGTAAAGTACTAACACGAAACGGAATGTGTAATGTATATGAAAATTTTCTCAGAATTTAGCTCCTTCCATTTCACAAATATATTGTTAGAAGTTGTTGTTACTATAGAAGATTGGAATAATGGCTAGCATTTGTAGTTTCACATTTACCGCCACATCAAAGATGGTTGAAATTTTTCATGACTCGTGATTTTTACGACCTGTTCCGGGAAATTGTTCCAAGTGTTGCACTGAAAGTTAATGCTAGTCTCCGCCACGGTCCGGAAAATATAACCGAGAATCATAGCTTCCGAAAGTGATGCGCGGTCGAATGTACTCACGAACTTCAGTGCGACTGAACCACAAAGGCAATGACGAATATCCTGCAACCGGATACTGGCCTCTTTATCCGTTCTTTGTCTGTTAATATCAATGTTAATTTTGTACCGGTTTTTGGAACTCGAAATTGAACTCTGGAACTATTACTACGCTACTGCATAGCAGAAATTTTGATAATGGAAAATTAACCATTTTCTTTGTGTTCATGACAGTGTAAACATTTTATAACACGCGCGCATTATATTTTGAAATTTTTTGCAGGCACAGGCTGGCAGCCACCGAACTGAAGACTACAGCAAGCGAGCTGAGGATGCCAACAATTTCTCTTCCCCAATCAACGATTCGTCTCATCTCTACGCGAACACCGACGACTTACACAAACTAGTCAGTTCAGTAAAATCTCATAGAAGAAATCCACCTCCAATTCCTCAAAGTGAGCACAGTGGGAGGGAAAAATGTCTTGTACCAGGAGAGGCCGCAGCACGCAATCCGCTGCCTCCAGTACCGAGGAAGCCAACTTCTGCTGTTGATAGAATAAAAAGAATTTCTGGGCGTCTCAGTGCAATAGGAGTCAACCTGCATAATAGTTGGAAGTTGGCTAGGGATGAGAACGTACTTCAAATGAATGCACAGCATCAATCATCTATGCCAGACGTCGTTAATGTAAGTACGCCAGAGGTTTTAGACGACGATGATATTTGGTCAGAGGACTCATTCGACAGCTGCAGCATTGGCTACGAAAATGAAACTGAACCAGTCGCCAGAGAGAACTCCATCAGACGAAGTAGCCAACTCGACTCCAAAACGCCGTGCAAAAAACTCAGCCCTCCTTGCATTCCTCCTCCTCCACCACCAATAGCGAAGCCAATTCTATCTTCTGGTGACAAAGAAACAGTGAAACCTCCTACCCAAGATAATAGCTCATGTGCATCGTACGGTAATGGTGTACCTCTGCGAAAAGCTCCAGCCCCTCCTTTAGTAGCTGCAAGTGCTGAAGATAGTTCCCCGATATACGGTAACATTGATATTCAATCCGAGTCTGGGATCAGTCACACTGCTATTGAGGTTCCCCAGACGACAATTGACTTCTCAAGACATTACGACTCACCACGACGGCATAATGATTCAAGAAATATTAGCCTCGCGGGAGCACAGGCTGTTGGCAACAATGATAATTCGACAAAACCTACCTCTAATCTGCCTGATCCCATTAAGAAACCTCTTCTTCCGCCCGGACAAGCCAAAAGGTTGGATAATTATGGACTGTCTGCCACAGGTGTAAGATCAGAAGCCATTTTGAAACCAGCTGCAACCGGTAAAGTGACGTCCATCAAACCTAATCCTCCAACGGCTCCGAAGCCAATGTCTAAACCCAACCTACCGAAGCTAAAGATGAATTTGCTTATTCCACAGAAACTTAATACCACAAACGAAGCCACTCCTGATACTGCGTTGACTTTTGTTTCCGGGACTCCCATACAAGAGGAAAGTTTGCTGGAAGACAGACCCAGAACAGTAGCCAAACCTAATCTAAAACCTGAAATATCTAGCAAACGGGAGAGCTTTGACCCAACCAACTTGTCTATCAGCGCGCGACGAGCACTGATGGAAAAGAAAACAGTTGAAGCTGCTGCCAATAAAATGCATTAAGTTTTATGTTTGTAATTTTAACGCTTTAATTTAATATTCAGTCATTTAACCGTAAACATACCCACAGATTAACTGAGGAGTTCTCTCCAACCAATTGGTTAACCGCCAACGCAGCAACCATCGCCAAAAATAGTAAATATCCCCCCAAAAAATCTTCTAAAAGTCAAAACTAAATTCCACAAGATTGCCTGTCGAGATACCGTTCATCTGAGTTATTCTTACGGTGTCATCACTAATACTTTAGTTGCATCAGGCTCGTAAGTTATCAAAGTTTTTTAGACATGTTGATTGGACCTAAAGAGTTATTGGTATAAGGGATGACGGTGTCGTATATATCAGTTACCTATTTGAAGACTTGCAGCATATGTATAGGCTGCCAGTTATGTCTCCTAATGTACTGCCCATATGGGTTGCCTCACCCGCGCCTGCATTACTTCAAAGAATCCCGTAGAAAAATAAGCCCTCTACTCGCCATTGTTGTTTCCGTACAGTTGAAATGGTGGTGCGCGAGTTCGGCAGCGCGTCAATGCTTCAATTCTATTTTATCTTCTCCCAATTTGTTTAGTACATCTCAAGTCATCGATTTCGAGTTAGGAGACCGATCGTGCCCGTAAATAATATACAGAATGTCCAGTATATTTTTATGACTGCGTAATTAAGTTGGGGGGAAAATCATATTGCTCGTATTTTCCAAACAAAGTGCGCTCATCATAGAAGCTTTACACCGCTCACACCCGCCACGTTCAATATTAAAGTAAACAGACCCAAACTATGAAATTTCATCAATTTATAGTCTATTGTATAGTATGTTTTTGTTGGTATGTTTATATTAGGTAATATGTTTATAGTTATGGTATGTTTGTTTCTCGTAATAGGCGTGGAAGACGTTTAAATAATTGTAAATTTTCTGCAACCATTCAACCTCAACATTGTAACCTAAATAATCATAATAATTATTGAGGTTTCTGAAGCTTCGTTTGACTTTAAGAAATCCCTGCACTATGCTGCCTAGATAATGGCTCTTGTGCAGATTTTTTCTTCATGCCAGCGTCATTTTTCGCTCATATATATTTGATTAGCGCTCAGTCATTATGGCCTCGAAACTACCAAAGTTAGATTAGACAAATTTTTAATAATGGTTTTGTTAAGCATTATTGTGCCTCGACTCTAAATGTCAACGGATAGTTTTTAAATGATGTCGAGTCGATAAACTTGAGTGATGAATTATTGTATATAATTAATTTAACTAAATAACAACTGTACATATAAGTGCTGATGATGCCATCTTCATCAGCCACTTTCACACTTATTATAATAGAAAATTATTTATTGTGTCCATTTTTAGCAGAGTGTTGCGAATATCTTAAAAATTAATGTTTGGACTTGAATTTTATGTGGAACTGATGCCTTTTACTATTGTAAAATTAGAAAAGATTTCACAATTACATTTTTGTAGAATATTAAAAAAAGAGTTATGACACTTGTAGATATAAAGAACAAATATTTTATGAAAGGGATTTATCACATTTCTTTGTGACGGTAAAACAATCGTAAGGAGAAATTATTAATTTAGGAGCAAACATGAAATTGATAAATATACGTGAAATATTTTTATTTATATTTTATACTATTTAAATTATTTTTATAGCTGCACAGCAATCTAGTGTGATTGTTATTGATATTTTATTCATCTTTATGTGTTGTTTTTAAAAGCTTGACCGAATAAAAATTCTATACACTTAACGATCATGTTCGAGACAAAAAACTTCTCACTTACTAGTTCAAGCCAATTGATGTCGAGTGATAAATACGGTCAGTTTTTATACTGAGCTACTGAACTTTGATAAGCAATTCATCGTCTCGCTCACGATAATATACATCTATTTACTAATTTATGTTTTATTATTCAACATTTCTTTCTAATGACCATGTGTAATGAGATGTAGCTAAGTTTGGCTATTTTAACGACTTTCTATATATGATACGTGTTCTGAATTGGATGAGCTGTGCGGCATTTGTCAATTTTTTAAATTAAATTTTAAATAGCAAAGACGTGTTTAATTTAACATTTAAAATAAGAATCGAGGATTTCGTCTGTACTTTGAAGAATGTTCCTTCAAACTATTACATGCCTCGGAAATATGTTGTTTATACCATGTTATTTTATAATTAGTTACGGATCTCGCAATAAACTTCCAGCCTCTGAGAGAAAAGCGATCTGTGTGATGATAATATTGGTATAAGAAACATAAGTTTTGATGTTTTTTGTTTTAAAATTTCAATGTATAATATGTATGACATTTTGCAGTAATTAACCTTCAGTCTTGCCAATGTAATGTTCATCGTACATATATAGCCGTCACTGACAGCTCGTACATATTTTAGGAGAACGACAGTCATCAAAAACCGTTCATATGATAAAGATAACACAGTAATCTCTCACATATCAAGATGTTATGTTCCTGACCTCGGCCGCTATAGGGAACTGATCGACTGAGAATACTTTTTTAGGTATTGATATTGTGATTATTTGTAATTAAGTTTTTACTGTATTAAGTTTTTACTCATACTGCCGATTGACTTTCGTTGGCAGTTTAAACCCACTGATTGACTTCCTCAGAAGTCCTTGAACCAGTGGAAATCCTCGAATGATTCTTCTCAGTAATATTTGTTGAGAACCCGCGATGAATTGAAGCCACGGTAGGTAAAGCGCGGATGCAACCCAAGGGTATGCAGCCGTAGACCAGCAAATTCACGGCAAATTCAAGCCGTAGACCAGCAAAAAATCAGCCCTGGAGCCAACATCAGCCATCTAAATGCTATAGATATTGTCATCCTGGCACCTAAGCAGCTGTAGTCAATTGACCCATCTCACCACACGAACTTTAAACAAACACTGCTTCGGCTCACAAACTGCTACTCCATATAGTTAACGGTCAATACGTTGTTTTCCAATGATTTTAACCCATACATCACTTCTTACACATGCTGTTATCCTAAGGGTCAGCTGACCACGCTCCATTCCCGCGAATGTGAACTATACCAAACGGGAATGTGTATCCCCCAACCCAGTTCGTCAATATTCGCACAGGTTGAAAGGTTCTATCGAAGTGTGTGCTACGATGTTTCACACGTAAATTTTCTGTCGCGATCTGCTTGAATGTTTTCTACGAACAGAAGAAGATTAGATGGATAACTATATTAAAATTAGAAGCTGATGTTCTGTCTCGTGCAGCAATCTAATTGGTATTTTTATCGAAGAAAGGTAGGCTATCTTGAGCATGTAATGTAGATAAACTTTCAACAAGCAGATTTTCATAAATAACTATGGCCTGCTCCTGTTCAATATGGTATAAAGGCAATATGGTATAAAATCGAAATGAAACGTATTAAAAACAGGCAGTTGTTGATAAAACATTGTTCAGCATTGCTCAATAACTTATTCACTGGCCGCCTCGCCGAATAATCAAATTAATATTCAAAGATTAATTGCTTAATACGGGAGCGAAAAACATTTTTAGCGCATTTTCTCATTTATGGAAAAAATGCATTATTGTGCTCGCCAAGTCCGTCTGTCTGCCCGTCCTTGACAAGTTGACCTTAAGTTTTCGTCGACGAGAAAATGCGCTCTTTGTCACTCACTGCAGTGAGTACTGAGTTAAGTGACCAGTTGCATTTATGGAAATAAGGCGCTATTTTGCTTGTCATGTCCGTCCGTCCGTCCGAGACTATACGGACGGACGAGAAATGCGCTCTCTGTCACTCATTGCAGTGAGTACTGATGTAATTTTTTGGATTTTTATCAGTCCCATCATCATCTTCGTGAGCCCTTAATTTCTTTATCGCTGCACTTGCATCGCCGGCAACTCATAGCAGAACAAGGGCAGTGTGATATTCAGACTGAACGAACATGGGTAAAAATTTTGAGATGAATTTAATAGATCGAAAGAAATAAGCTACAAATCCATCTTTGTAAAATTTCTTTTGCACAAAAATTTACCGAAATTATGAACATCACCATACTAACTTAAAAAAAACAGATGTCGTCAATCAACACCATAGGGAAGCGCATGTATCCATAAAAATTCTCCATTAACCCATTTACACGCATCAATTTACACATATTACAGCATTAGAAGTACTAACTAACGAAACTGATTAAATAGAGCAAATAGACGACCAATAGAGATTAAATAGATTCTACAACGAAGAATTTTCACAATATGAAACTCCATGTCACATGCACGTGAAATGCAAGGGCAGAAATACCGATAATAAAATTATAACAATTGAGATCAAAACGTTGATGAGAAATGACTAGGTAGTTATGATAATATTGAATATGCAATTAAAGTATTAAACCATAGGCAGGGTAGATAAATATGCAATAAATAACACTTATGGAAAATTGATTCAAATTTTTTAAGAGTGTATATTGGGTTGCCCTGTACCGCTATAAGCTAAAGGGAATGCGAGCAGAGAAACCTATCAGAAATTAACCAGGGGATGTTATGAAGAGTGTACTTGTAAGTATGGTAAATTTTGCACCTTTTGAATAAACGAACTCTTATAAGCCTAATTGCATAACATGTTTGACACGATTGAATGAAGAATATTATACAAGAAAATAATACAAATGATACGAATGTTACAAGAGCTATTTAAGGTCTTACCCCAAACGTTGGCGAGCAAGGCTGAAGAGTAATGACTGGTAACCCAACTAAGGAAGAAAGAAAAAGTCAATCTATAAGAAGTTCGGATGGTTGGCTGACTGCTAACTATTTGAGAAAAGTAAATACGGAAATAAATAATAAATATCGGTGGTCCTTACAAACGCAACCACTAAGAAGCAGTTAGCATATCAACATTTTTGTTCATTTGCTCTTGAATCTAGATTTATAAGTAAAAATAACACGGAGTGTCGACACCATGGAAGCATGATGTGCGATTCGAAGCCTTTGTATAGAAGGTAGTACACCTTAATCAGCTTTAATAAATTTATGGATAGTGATATAATTTTCAATCGATTATCAATAAAAAATTCAATTATTCACACGATAAAAGAAGCATATAACATTAATGCAGGCATCAAACAAATCGATTTTTTTATAAATATTGCACACGTGCACTTGCTTGTTCCGATCATAAATTTGGTTATTAATAAATGAGATAGTGAATGCATGCGCCCATATCTTTGTTTTGAGGAATTTAAAAAATTATTTCTCGGGTTTCAGTGCACGTTTTGCGAAACATGCTGTGCAGTACAAGCTCTGCTTCAGAGTTCGTTACGTGGAGAGGTGAGACCATTGATTTCCGATGGCCTCTAAGACTCGTCGAGACAGATGGAACATAGTTCGCTTTTTGATACAAGAGCTGATGCAAGGAATCGAAAATTTCGGATGCTTCAAGACTGGATTGAATCAGATAACTAGGACTGCCAGATCCAGCTTATCGGACGCAATGATGGTAGCCGCAAGGAAAATTAAGCGAGTTATTTGGCCACGTGAGCTGTAGCCTGGCCTTCCATTGTTCAACTGTTGGCCCGGAGGTCTAAAAACTTCAATACTAGCACAGACCGATATTTCCCCGTCATCGAACTGGCAAGCTTTCAATGTAAGGAGTGTCTCAGGAGCTGGCAACATCAGTCATCACGAATCGAGAATAATCGGCGAAATGTCGATGGTCGTTCATTTGCTGAAGGTATTCTGCCTATGATAGATCTTTTCTATCAATTTTAAGCTTAAAAGTAAGCACTTACGCGGCGTAAATCGCACAATTAATGACATTGAAGCCAAAAATCAATACCAAAAAACAAGATTGGTCTCACAAAAATTTTTGTCGGAGTTGGTGGGCGTAATCCTTGAAAAATTTACATGAATTGATGAGCATTTTCGTGAAGGTTTCAATTGCTTTTTTCACGGTTTCTTTATGGAAGCGCAGCAAGAATCCTTTTGAATGTTTGGCAACCAGCAACCCGATCGCCTGAGCCGAAACAAAGAACTTGATAAAGCTACTATAATATATAGAGAGCTTTATCAAATATAATATATTTGATAAAGCTCTGATGATTGGTTTCGCATATTTATTTCCAGATGCAATGGACCAGATCAGAAAAGTGAACGCCATGCATCTGCATAGATTATTCAAGGAAATTCGACTTCTAAATCTTCGAGTGGTCGGATCACCCGCGATATGCAGTAACCCACACTAATCGACATCGTTGCCCACATTGGTGATTGACTGGGTGATGAGCATTTTCGTAAAGGTTTCAATTGCTTTTTTCACAGTTTCTTTATGGAAGCGCAACAAGAATCCTTTTGAATGTTTGGCAACCAGCAACCCGATCGCCTGAGCCGAAGCAAAGAACTTGATAAAGCTACGATAATGAGCTCTGATAATTGGTTCCGCATATTTATTTCCAGATGCAATGGACCAGATCAGAAAAGTGAACATAAACTCATAATACGTAATTGTGAATAATGATTAAATAACTTAATTTGAATTGCTATCCGAAATGCACTAAAAGTTCAATGTAACCGGATTTTTTCTCGCCCGAATCGGTTGAAGTTTCTTCTGTATTGATATTACTTCATAATTAAAAAGGAGAAAACCCCCATGTTCGGCTTTACTAATTTTGAAGGAGAAGAACTTAATCATTTGATACTATGTCTGAATATAAAACTATGCTTAATTTTGTCCCTGGTGCTTAACAAATCTATCCTTTACTTTCCATGTGATAGTGGACCTCAAAATGTTAATTAATATATTATACTGTAAATTCGCAGTGAATCAATAAAAAACCTAATCGCAGTGAATCAGCAATAAAAACCTAATTAACATTGTGGTAGATTCCTTCCCATCTATAATAAACCTGTACTAAAATCTAAATATTCTATTTCAGTGTTGATAAATGAAATTATTTTCCGCATCTACAAGAAATACGAGAGTAGAATTGCATTACCGTCCTTCATGGACTAGAAGAAGCCAAATGAAGCATAGCTGCAATTCGGCGTCATGTTTGCTTTCTAATCAGAATTCATGGCGC